AACCTCCTTTTTATCAAGATTATTGTACCATGATTTTCTTGGCACACAATCTGGATTCAGACGTGTGTGAAAATATATCCATACTGTATTCACTTTTTTGAATTAAAAACAGGTCTAGGCTGCCTGATTCTCTTTTTCAAGATATAAGGTGGCTAACAGTAACAAGTGTGAGACCCATAGCTGAAAAGCAGGCTCTTACGAATATAGTCTACCCATTCTACTGTTTACCAATCTGATCCGTGTAATAAAAGAACGGATGCATAAAGATAGAAAGTATGCGAGCTGGTAATTATCATTCTCGAGTGAAAAGATATGCACTTTCGTGAACATCACACACACACACACACACCGGAGGTCTAGAAATGCACTCTCTCTCATTAGATGTTACAAAGGTGGCGTCAAAACTGGACAACCTTAGTTAGGGTTGAAACAAAAACCCTATCTGCTGCACCTCACAGATAAGGAATGACTGAAAACAAACTCTGGCACTATGGGCGTCTACCTGGAAAAATATTGCTCAAGGTGGGAGTCCCAGGGGAAACTATGGTCAGTTCCTGTTACAAGCCTTTTTAATGGTTTGCCAGTCCGGTTGAATTCGCTATCATTAGCATGCTACCAGTTAAAGTCTGATGTTTGAATCCTACCACCACTCGCCCCCACCCCACTCCTTAACTTCAGTGGCCGACAGACATTTCGGAGACCACTGAGTGCGTTTTTTCTGCGACGAGGACCTATTGTTTAGGAAACCGGTAACCTAATCCCCGGGACCTCGAGTGCCGAACCACAGAAGGCTCCACTAGGTTAGGTGTGGTATCAAACCAGACGACAGCAAAGCTGCCTACCACCTACAGCTTGTTCCCTTTTATAACAGATTGCTTACCTGACTGAGGTTCACCGATCTCCAGTGTTGCGCATCACTCGGTACAGTCTTTGACTATTCCCTGATGCAGCGGCGACCTTCAATTAATTGACTTATGTTGTCCATCAGATTTCACGGTCTTTATTGAGGCTCTTTGTGAGCTGACGTTGTAGACGCTGACTACCTCTACTTTAACCCTGACCAGACGAGATTTGTCACTTTTTCTACACCAGGGATACTGACTCGTGAGACATTCAATACCTTAGTCGGGTTTTAGATTCAGATCAACAAGCAACATCCGCTACGGAGTGCATTGCTCATCTGATCTGATCCCATTTTTCATTTACACTACCACCCCGCAGTGCGTTCAGCTCTTGCCTTTGTTCTGATTTAAAACGGGCACGAACGGCTGGGTCTGATGAGCGATCGGTTAACTGAGTTGGTTGGTATGCCGGCAACCAGTAAGTCAGTGTGAAAAACATCAAAACTAACGCGTGGTCAGACTCAACGCAGGTGGCCCAACAGGACCTGCAGTTTGTACTGAGCCAGACCAACGGTAGTTTACTGCTCTGGTCGAGATGAGTTAATGTGCCAGTTGAATTGGAGCGCCACGTTGTCGTCCATTGAGAGCTGTGTCGGGAGTTGGTGCTGGACAGAAACAGATAGTCTGCGCGGAACTGAAGAAGTCGATCGCCGGTAACTGTTGACTAGCAGGGCAGAACACAACGATCACCTAGGTAAGCTTACGAAGAGCTTAGTGTTCCAACCTGCACGGTAAAATCACTTGCGAGTACAAATATATCGGAGCTCTCAACCGAATGAGTTCGGTGAATTCGTCAAACGAAGTGTCAGAACTGCGATTAGTCGGTGCATATGCTAAGACACCTTTTGGTGTTATTTCCTTAACCGATACTGATTAACCCCAGGAGCCACATCGCGCATAGGCAACTGTTAACGGGTACTTTGAGGACTTAAGTGGTTCAGAATACTAGGATCTTGGATTCCCAACCCTGATATGCAGCAGACATCGAACCCTAGAGAGTCTGTTGTACTCGCAAGACATGCTTGATGACCTGCCTGCATCAGATTCCTCATGTTGAAGGCCCCTAGATTAAGTAATTGACGACGCTTCAGAATATGCAATGTATTCACTGATAAACTGCTTATGGCGTCACTTAGCAACGAGTTTTAGCCAGTGACGAACAAGTTGTTTCAAGGAATGTTACATGTCGAAAGAGGGAAGGGTTGGATATGGAAGACGAAGAGTTAAACAAAGATTGGGATATCTGAGCAGTAGCGCACTTATCACCATACACCCCGCCCTATGCAACAGGCAGCACGGTCTTGATTATCCCGCGGGACGATCGATGCAGTATGAAATTCTCTACAGTTTGTGCATGCATTAATCTGATGGAAACCGGCGTACGATAGTACATGGTTCATGATTGTACAAACTGAAACTGAAGGGTACTGCTAGGGCGTCTAACCACCAAGCAGAACTATTGGGGTTATAAACCAAAGCTTTTAGTTCTCACAAGAACCTTATCGCAAGGCAGCGGGTGAAGCGAATCGGAGACTTGGATCGATTATTTCTTTGTCACATTTTACCGACCGGGACGCCACTTCGAGTGAAACCTCTCATTTGGAGAACCAGGAGACTAGAATTTGTCTGACCTCTATACCTTCTGACTTTCAGGTATAGAAAAATCTGACAGCTGGATGAGAGCCATCTAGTTTAGTTCGCCGAATCGTAGAATTGCACAAACCATCACGAAATGTCAAGAGGCAGTCTATATATATATATATATATATATATAT